GGATTGAGCTATATGCACCATTATTGCAAGAAGTATTCCGAAATACCAGAAATAGGACGTAAGCTCTGATCAGGGAGACTGTGAGCACAATTACCTTCTTTTCAAATCCTTCTGTGACACTGCGGGAGGAAAAAGGACTTTGAAACTTGAAAGGAAAGAGCTTGCTTTCAACCTCAAAAGCTAGGAGGAAAGGGCTCTGAAATTTGCTCAGTATTCCCAATTCACCATTAGCCTGTTTCTTCCTTTAGCCTCAAGGCATTCTCCGCTTTTTGAAAAGATGTTAAGAAATTCAGTCACAATAGAGAGCCTAGTTTTGAACATGTTTCACTCGGTCCATTGAGGTCTGGTCTTCAGCCTTTGTGTGGGGTGAATTGAGCTGAGCAGCTAGCTGGTTGGGGAGAGGTGAATGAGCAGTCTCTGTGCAGTCACAAATTCTGGCAAAGAAAAGATTACCCTTTCCTTTATTTTACAATATGCATTCCCGTACAATCCTGCTAGTGGCAATATGCGGAGCAGAGCTTGTGCTTAAGTCAATATGGAGCACTTGGTTTATAGCAACTCTTGTTAAGTTTGTCTTGTAATTGAAGCTGCTGTTGACCTTGCTTGGAGACCATTTGTAAAACCGTTTATTTAGCATAAACTGAAATAATAAACCCTCCTTCTCTTAGGCCAATTGTGATAGGGTGACATTAGTTTGATTTAATGATTAGCCGCCTGACCCCTCAGCTAGAGAGAGCTGCTTGAATAGGGAGAGTTCACTAGGAAGCACACAGGAAGAATACTAATGAGCTTGTTAAATTTAGCATGGCACCAACCACTTTTAATTCCTCTAATGGGAGAAGCACTGCCTCTGAGAGAGAGGGAGGGAGGGAGAATGGGAGAGAGAGGGAGGGATGTCCACATACTGTAGCTAGAGAATTTTTGGTCAGGAGAAGAGCTTGGAGAGAGAGTAAGCCAGGGTCTTTGGACTGAGTTGTAAGTATGTTGCTGTCTGTTCTCTTACCCAGTTAAAGTGTGTCCTTAATTGGTTATGAGACAATAATACTAGTTGCAAATTGAAATATGGCTACAAAACCTAACACTTCTCAATTTTTGCTAATGCATTGATTTGTCATTTAAATGCAAGTATCTTGGACTTTTGTTGAGGGGGAAGGGGGCTCCAGGCATTATAAACAATGGTTTTATGCTTATCTCTGACTTTTAAGAGGCTTGAAATAAAAAGTGTTCAATTGTGTTTCAGGGTCTGCTGAACAGGAAAAGTTCGTGAGAAACAAAGTTTTGGTGGGTTGACGTGCCACTGTACATGTGCTCTTAGCTTCTCAGGTGTTGGATAAACTCATAAAAATATACTGGCATAGGCACATGATTTGATTCTGAGGTTTTTGGAAATATTTGTTAATAAAATGAAGTGTTTCTTGATACTGTATGTTTCAAAAATGCTTATGGCTAAACAGGGCTGATCAATATTATGCTTCTCATTAGACAGGGGAATCTAGGATTATTTTGATAGTTCCAGACTGGATACTTTTTCTGTGTGTTTGAAGGTACTAACCTGTTTGCATGTAGTGGTGATACACGTGGAGAAAGAAAGGATAGTGCTGAATCATATTTGGGTGTGATTTGCAGGTAGGAGAGAAAAGAAAGTTGGGAGAAACTATGCTTTAGTAACTGCATTAGTGAAAAACAGGTGTGAGCGAGAGGAAAATTAGGCCTTTTGCCTTTTGACATTCATCTTTCTGAAACTTCTTGGTGAATCGGATGTTTCTTTTGACCTTAAATCAAGATGCTTTTAAAACCTAAGCAGCACAGTAACAGTTGTCTTATGTTTGGCTGTAAGAAGCCATTGGCAGATGCTGCTGGAGAAGTGGGTTGTTTGCTTACATTTTTGCTATAGACTCCCACTTGTTGCCATGGTGGACAGTATGTTTCTGTCAATAATTTGGCCTGGCGCAGCTTGTCTGCACTTACTCTTAAACTTTATTGAACAATTCAGCTGAAACAGAACAAGATTAGACAGCTTTCGCCTTTTGGCTCGTTGAAGTGGTTTTACTGCAGTTATAAGAGCAGGCAGAATTATTGCAAGAAAAGTTTCCCTTTCAGTGTATAGAGAGTTCTTTCAAACCACTCGGCTATTTGTATTCTGGAGTGCGTGTACTGTCAAGTTTTTCATCTGCCCTCTATCAAAAGCAGCTCTGTGGTGCAGAGCCTCAAGTAAACTCTTAACAAAATGTTTGTCCATTGGAATGCCTTATTATTGCAAAAATGTTGCGGCCCTTACTTTTAAAAATCATTTCTGATTGAATTTTTATAAAGAGAGCAATATTCAAAAATGGTTGACTGGCTTTTAGCAGTAAACAGAATTATCTTCCTGGAGAAGGAAGAATAGACTGATGGCAGAAAACAAGACTTTACTTTTGTTTTCTTTCTTAGCCTTATTTATTAAAATCAAACACATCTTGCTTTTATGTTCAGTTACCCAAAGTAGGCTTTTTAAATTTCATTCACCAATTAAAACTCTCATCTCATGCCACGCCAGTAACTGATGCCTTGATTCACTACACATGTATGTCTTGAGAGGGATAGAGTAAAATCAAAGCATTTGGACCGACAGCAGCTGCTTGTTGTATTCCAGGATGGCAGTTTTAACAAATATTAATTTTATAGAAAGAGTAAAAGAAATTAAATCCCATCTGGTCCTTGCATTCATAATGCAACTACAAAAGTCACTTCAGCTCACTTCTGTCCATAATGTAGTAGCACAGGTTAGCCTTGTTCCAGTTATTAAGGGTCTGTCAGTGTTTCAGATAGGGTATAATCCTCTGTTTTCAAGAGCTTGCATCTCAACTGTAAAAGTTCATTCTGGGTTGAAACTTATCATGAAAGGCTCCAGCCAGAGAGAAAATTAGTGGAAAAAAAACTTTAAAAAGTTGTACAAACAGTTTTATAAAAGCTTAATATACATTTTAGAGCCTTAGACTCCTTTTTTTGCAATTGAAGAAGTAAAAACAGCTTTGGTGTAAAACTATTAAGTGTGAAAGGCTGTTAATTCAAAATATGGGCTACTGTCTATCAATATTAACAAAAAAGAGAAAAGGGCAAAGATTTATATTTACTACTTCTCCGTGGGCCCAATCCTACAAGCCCTTTGTGAACAAAATTAACTACTGACTCAGAAGAAACCTGTACATGCAGAATCTTGTCCCCAAAATTATCAAAGGCTTTTTTTTTTGGTAGTTTTGCATACAAATCTAAAGTATAGTTGTAGACTAATAAATGTTGGTTTATGCAGGTAATAGCCAAAACCCAACTTGATGTAGTTTGGTATTTCAGTACAATCAGCATGATTCTGATATCGCTGGCAACGATAGGAATCCATTAAAATCAGTGGAGTTACACCGGAGTAAAATGTGTAGAACTAGAATAGAATCAGTCCTATGTAGAATTAATTGCTGTTTCTTGCCCCTGTACTGGGCAGTCAAAGCAAGGCAGTTTTAGCATTAAACTTGAATAAGCAGGTCTCTGATAGTCTGAACTGGACTCTTGTTATTCAGAGTTATTCTTTTTGTATGTGAATTGTAGAATAGCTTTTGAACACATTTGTTAATGTTTATGCAAGATGTAGTTACATGTTCTCGCATAAACAGCGAGCTTCATGAAAACAGGAATGTTGAGATTAAAGTTTCTATCTATGTAGGTTGGGACTCCAGTCAATGATTACATTTTTTAGAGGTGCTGTGTTTTATAAAAGGAATAACATAGATCACTACCTCTCTCTTCCTGAAAATGTTAATCTGAAGTTGGTTACACCAAATATATATGTAGCTAATGACACTTTGCTGTCAAATGGCTCATGTAAAATGTATCTGAAGCTGTGCAGCTAATTGTTGAACAACTAGGCCATTAGTCTGAATGTAAGTGTGTGTGTATCATACACCTAGAATGAAATTCATGCTGAAATGGAAGGCCATTGAATGCCCCATAGCAGAACTGTGAGAGCCATCAGTGAAGTAATTATGGGTCCTTTACACCCCTTCCCACCTGGTTGGCAGAAGAAGATCCTGGTATGAACGATTATAAGTAGAGCTTACTGAGAGACTGTAGAGGAGGCTGAAAGAGCTATTGCAGCTCTTCTCCTGGAGAAGGCACTATGAGGGCTGTGTTGCAGTCATAGGCACTGACACTAGGTTGGGGGGTTGGGTTTTACCATTGTAATTTCCCCTTTACACATGTAATGTCCAGTTTTTGCATTTTATTTGAGGGAGCAAATCTCTTATGTAAGTTCTGCTGTGCGTGCGCGTGTGTGAAATGTGCATGCACACACACACACCCTGTCTTCCCAGTGTTATAAAGTGTTAACCTTGAATAATATTCACAGCTACAGATGGGTGACACTATTACAGCAGGTAGTCTCACTGCTTTTGCCTTGTGCTGGCTGAGTATCCACAACAAAATAAACATGTTACACTATTGCCTACCTTAATTTTGATTACTAGGGCCTTTTTTTATTGCTCCAGGCTTTTCTAACAGCACATTGACTTTGGGATGGAGCGGCACACTGGCAAATACAAAGCAGCAGTGGGTGGCTAGACTTGATTTAGTCTCAGCTAGCAGGGTTCATCTTCTGCTGTTTGTGACAAATTGTTTTTTTCCTCCCAGTCAGGCAGCCAGAACTTCCAGTCTACTTGTCCCAGAGGCAAGAAAACAGCAAGTCTGTGTCCGTTCTTGTACGATTAATAGCCCCTCTGGTAAATGCATCAGTGAATGGGTGATGATGATCTACTGTTCAACTGCCACTTGGTCTGAATGGGCTAGTTTTTTCAACTGGTATCCCAGAACATCTTTCATAACCACACATGTACTTACTGTCATGAACTTACACTGTGACTTTGAAAGTGGTGAAAGGGGAACAAAAAGAACTTTTTTATTTTATTTGCTATAAATGGCCTAAAAGTCTCTTTTCTCTCTCTCTCTGTATCTCTCTCTTTATTTTTTTCCCCCAGAGGATGAAAGTCCTGGACAGACCTATCACAGAGAGAGAAGAAACGCAATCACAATGCAGCCACAAGGTGGGCAAGGTCTCAGTAAAATCAGTGAAGAGCCTTCAACATCTAGCGAGGAAAGGGCCTCATTAATAAAGAAGGAGATCCATGGATCTATATCGCACCTTTCTGAACCTTCTGTACCTTATCGTGGGACAGTTTTTGCTATGGATCCCAGGAATGGTTACATGGATCCTCATTATCGTGAGTATTTAATACAAGTTCATTTCAGAAGAGCAAGATTGGAAGATTATTAAATCTGTAATTTTTTTTTGCATTTTGTATTGGCAGTTTCCATCCCACTCAGAATCCATCAGTTTACCTAAACAAGGCTAAGTTATTTTAAGAATTCTTATTCTTTTCTTTATGGAGAAGAAAATAGTAACCGGTTCCATTCTGTGTGCAAATTAGCATAGGCCTCTACAGGCTTCCATGGGGTATATCATCTGTTGCTAATTCACACAAACCATCCAGTGTTACGTTTGCTCTGCCAACTTAGCAGCACATGAAGAAAAACCCTCATTTAAAGAGAGAGAGAAAATTAAGCCTCAAAATAGTACTTTGAACATGATTTTTAACTACATTTTTAAGAAAAGATGAAACATGCCTTTTGGAGAGAGATGGGGGAGAGGGGGGAGTTGTGGGGTGGAAAGGCAGTCATTGTCTCCCCCAGCTCCAGTCCTGTGGAATAATGCAGGGGGAAAAAGCTAAGGGTTTTAACTTCTGAATTCCTGCTTAGGCTTTAATAAAAAAGTAAGAAATTAACTGACACTTGAACACAGATGTGGAATGGATTTCTCCACAGGCAAAATATAAAGGAGTTAAGCAATTTTTTTCATCTGCTTCTAGTTAAAAAAAATCATTTAGTTGTGTAGTAATGAAGTACATCTTGAGGTGTCAAGTCTTGTGCCTTTTGATTATAGATTTATCACCCAGTCAGGATACAGATTTGCCATTTAACCTCCGAGTCTCCAGTTCCAGATGATGGGCTAAAACTCACAAAGTGAGGCCAGTTTCTGTTTTGGTTTTCTTTTTTTTCCACATCATTCAGAAATGTTAGTGTTTTAAGGCGAAAGGTCATTAGCCAGATGACTGATTAGTGAGGACAGCTGATTAGTGCATGTATTTTTGCTAAAGAAAGTACCAGGGATAAAAGCTAATTTTATCCCTTCATTAGTTGGGCTAGCAGTAAAGGGGAATGTTCACTCATCAGGGTGCAGATCAAAGTGTCTCTCACACAACCGTAAGTCTCACCAACTGCCTTTATTATAACAGAGTCTGATTGTTAATAAAGGTGGAGGCTAGATAAGAACATGAAACACTTGTTGTCTTTAGAGTCCAGATCAGCTCCTATGTGAATAGTTTATGATGTTTTTTCAGCTTTCTTTTAACGTATGACATCAGTTTCTACCTGTCTCTCTCAAGCACAACCTAGTTCCAATGCTCTAAGCCAGTTATTCACTCATCTATCTGAGAAAGGTGTGCAGGGTACTGCTGTCAGACTTGCTTGTAGGAGGAGAATACTACAGGCAAGAGAAATGCTAGCTTTAAGATCTTTGCTATCACTCAGCTCATTGCATTCAATATTTGTAAATGCAAAACATGGTCTGATGGATTCTGTTGGGGGCAGATGGCAACTGTGTGGGTGGAGTGTGTTGTAGCAGAGCTGAGTTGCAGAGAACTTTAAGATGACTTGGCAAATGTTATTTTGGCCCCCTGATTCAGCTGCCATGTCCCTTCCTAAATACATCTCAGGTCCTACTGATATCATTTGATATATATTGCAGAACTGGGTTTGAGTTCTCTGACTGAACTTAAGTGGTGGGGTTTTATATTTCTCAGTAACATTTCCATCGCAGTCATCGTTGTTTAATGTATCTAGAATGACCATTAGCAGTTGGTTGTAAAACAGCATACCCAAAAGTCATATTTTGGGGAATTAAGTCATTTTTAATTTAAGAAGAAAATAAATGATAGCATATATCTAGCATATACAAAGGTAGTCTTAAAGTCTCTGTATGAAAACATCAAATGGCAGATGTACTTTGCATCTGGTAGGGGGAATTATAATTTTTTTTTTGCTGGCCTGTAAAATCCCTGAAGTTATTATATTAATACCGTATGAAAGCTCATCACATTTCTATTTACCTGTAATAGATTTGATACAGAAGGACAACTAAATTAATGTCTGGCCAAATTTATAGAGAAGAAGATAGGCAGACTTAAATTTTCATAATAGTTGCATCATTTATATATGTAAGATGTGCTTTTATTAAACTCGTGATTGCATTCAGCTTGACACTTATAGTAAGCCATATGAAGAACTCTAAATGTTAATCTCATCCCAGTTCCTCTATAGCAACAGGCCATCATTCTCTTCCTTAGTTTCTTGCCAGCTTTGCTGAGCAGATGGAGAGAAAATACTGCTTTAATCCAGTGTAGCCAGGTATGTAAACACTCATGGTAATTCCTTAGTTTCCCTGTGGTTGGAAAATACAGACTTTTCAAGATGCCTAATTTGTGCTTCTATATATACCCACTTTGTATTTAAAAGTGTGGGCAGGCTTCCTGTAACACAGGAAAAGGGAAGATAATTTTTTTTGAAGGAGGACATCTGTATATTTTTATTGTAGGAGAAAAAGTTTTTAAGTTGGTTGTGTGTGGAATGCGTGTCTTCAGGAGCTGCAGTTTATTAGAAAAGGCTCATACACTTTGCATTTCTACATATAAATGTGTGTGTCTGTGTATGTGGGTTTGGGTTTTTTGTTGTTTAATTCCTTTTTCTTAATTGAAAAGACTGATGGTAACTATCACTTGCAACATTTACAGCATATATGTGGAATAAGTGCATCACTGAGGGGAGTTTGCTGTCCTGCAGAGACAGGGTTGGGGAGGCGTTTGCGTTTCAAGTGGACAAGATTTTCCAACAGCCATGATCAAATACGTTACGGGTCTGACAGTCCTACTTATACAGCTCTAGAGATCCTGAGCCATTTAACATTTGAGAATGAGGGAGTAGCCTTATGTGCAGGCTCGCACCACCCGGCCTGCATGAAACAAGAAAGGGTATAGACATCCAAAGCAGCACTCAGCAATTTTTTTTCATTACCATCTTCGTCACAGATTTCTTGAAACCACAGTTCTTCTGTCTACTTAAACTACTGAATTGAATGAAACCATTCTTTTTTTTGAAGAAGAAGTTTAAGGGCAGATGACAAAACAGTTATGGTTTCCTTTCATGTTTCACATTTTTTCCACACTAAAGAAACCTGTTTTTGGCATACTTACAGATTTTGTTGCATTTCTGAAGTTTCATTACATCTCAGTGGCTGTGTCACTTTGAGCCTTTTGTTAATGCAAATACTGTCTCTAAAAGTTTGAGATAGGTACTTTTGCTCTTCTTTCCTCAGTTTTAATTCTCACACAGATTTATAACTGCTAAGACTACCTAACTCCCAAGTCATTCCTCATGGAAAAAAATTAATCATTCCTGATGTAAACACTTGGATTTCAAACATACTTTTTGTATTCTTCCTTGAGTTTCTTACCTCTCATGTAAAAGACCTATTTTTTCCTAATTAATAAAGCCCGAAGATTTAGCTTATGTAAAAGGAAAAGGCAATGTCAGTTTAATACGCTTAGATATAAAAGTTTCTGTGGAAGGTGACCCTGTTCACAAACGGCAGAGGCAGAACCAGCACCAGCAGCTGCCCCAGTGAAGTTTCATGAATGTAGTTGAGAAGTATGTGCCATGTTTTTACAAGGATTTTTTCTGCTAGAGTTTGAATCTCACATGCCTATCTTGGGTAAGGGGGAATGCTTACCTTACATTTTTAATGGCACTGTAGCATTGTGGAATTGTAGTGTTGAGACTTGTGTACCGTACTGGGATCAGGCCCTTAATAACTGTACTAATTATATTTCAGAGTATTAGCGTTGCCTCAGAATCAGTTTGGAAAAGGATCAAAAGGCCCAGGAGGCAAAGAAAACACCATGACAGCTCATTGTACATACTTGTTTATATGCTGAAAATATATTTTTTTTTAGCAAGTACTTGCCATGAAAATTAAGTTAATGCAGAATAAAGTTAATTAAAAGTCTTTCAGCAAATGCAGACTATTAACTGTAAACTCCTCTTTGGGGGCATTAAAAATAATATGTTACTTGTTCAGTGACAATCAGCTTTAAGCTTCTTTTGAGATGATGATAGTACCTTAGGTCATTGCCAGCATTATCAGATCTGCCTTTCTTCTGGAATAGAGGCTTTTGCATTGTCCCTGCAAAGTGCATTGTGTTGCTCTCCAGTTCAAGGGTCCTTGCAGAGGGGTGTGGTAGAAGCTGAGTAGACCCAGTGAAGCCCTCAAATAATATTACGATAGATGTCCTACAGCAGGGCTTTGTGGGTCTAACCATCACCTCCATTATCAGGCAGTTGTCAGAATATACCCATGACAATTGTAAAGATTAAAGGACATATTAAAGATACTTATGGGCCTAACTCCCATTGAGTTCAGTGGGAGTTAGGCCCATAAAGGTGTTCCAACATCAAGGTCTTATTTCCTGAAGCCACCCTGCAGCATTTTTTCTGGGTGCCAGTATTAAAAGTATGTACTTAGTGATTTATGGAGTGGTTTCCAACTGACATCAAGGAGGGGTAAGGTAAGAAAGGGAAATAAATACATAAACACAGTGAAAACTTAGATTTGTTTATTTATAAGTCTCAGTAAAGAAAGTATCTGATGCAGAATGGAACATCAGACATCAGTGCCCACTAGAATTGATGGAAAAATGGTAAACAATATTTGCAAAAAAGCATTTTGGCACTGGTTTGCAGTTTTGGAGATTTTTCACCCAGCACCGGTGCATTGCTATCATGGTGATAGCTCACAAAAGCCACATAGAGAGAAATTCAAGTGTTCTCAAAAGCTAACCTAGGATCAGTGGCAGCTTTTGTTCACAATTTTAGATGGGGCATCGTAATCCTCTTTAGTTGCACAATTGCTTAGAACATGAAGGGCACTTTCAAAAGTGCTTCTCAGCCCTCTGCTGTGGTGTTGGCCTGCTCATTGCACTGCAGACACTTTGCTTTGAAGTCCTGCTGCTGTGTTGAAGCTCTCCCCTGGAATGTGCAGTATACTGTCAGGGGCACTGGGGCAGCTGCTTCTGCCTGGATTCCTTATCAGAAGTAAAAAGAGAGTTGCACT